GAAGAAATGCAACTATTCAATTTATTGAAAATGGCTATTTGCTCATTAACATTCCACCCAGCACTAATAGCTTCTCTGATTTATCCATCACTTCCCCATTGCATCACTCTGCATTTCCCAACTTCTCAAGCCAGCTGTCAAGAATTATCTGATTTCCGATTCACCCTCCCCGCTTACAAAAAAAAGGGGAAAGTAACTTACTGCAACTAACTTTATCACAACGCCCCCAGCGAATATTTGACTCAGTCTGTCCCTGTTCTTCGAAAAACAGTTGGGAATATAAAAAAGTCAACATGCTGCGTTTTCACCACCATTTGCTCAGCTTTGTTGCAGAGAGTACGCTCAGCACATCTGACATTTCAAGAATTACCTTACCAATTAAAACTGAGAAGACAGAATCGGCCTGAAGTTCAAGAACTAACTTCCTCCCGCTCCGCATGATCTAAACCCGACCACCCAACGGTTTAAAACTGCCTCCGCTCCCAGTCACCGCCAAAAGATGTGGAAGTTCCTTCCGTTCTATGAGCACTTCTGTCAGAACGAAATATTTTGCTGTCGACGTTTGGAAATGATAGGACCACACCGAACTTTAAAGTAAAAAAGTCTATCAACAACTGGTGCTTGACATATATACCTTCGTAACCTTTCCTTTCATCTACATTTACCAAATCCTCAACTTAGAATTCAAAGTGACAACACAAGGAGTTTCAGTATTAATTTAGCACCTTCCCCTATTGGGCCTCCACCTCAAGAGAATCCAGTATAAGGTAATCTAATTCTCCATACGAAAGCGGCTGGGGAGGTGTGGCACAGAGGAATCATTAACTGTCTCAGACAAAAACTGAAATAGCCAAAACCTCAACAATAAAATTACAAATGAAAGTTTATGTACCAACACCGAATGAATTAAAATAAGAGAAGTTACAGCCAAAACACTTTCTAGTGACTAGGTACCTTGTTACAATGTACAAAGCGAAAGGAATAAAAACTTTGACAGTTTTTACGCAATCACAGCAATTCCAAGAAAGAAAAAATATTTCTGTTTTGACACACATTATGCATTCTGTTGAAATTTATAACGCAACAATGATGATGAGATTGATAAGATGAAAAAAATCACAGATGCTTAACTATGGTGTAGCGCACTAAAGAGTCAAGAAGCGGAGATCAGGACTAAGGACCACACTTCCAGGTTGCTTGCGCTGTTTACTCGTACACACGCTTTGCCTTCTGACTCTAGACGACTGCTGACCTCCAACCGGATTACTCTGGAACAAATCGTCCAATTTACGTAGTCAAGAAATAAATAAATGAATAAAAAAAGCACCAAAATATAAGTTGCTATCTATAAAGCTTGTTGGGAAGAACATCAACTAGCAGTACAAACGGGACAATGGAGTAAGATACAATTAATATCAGTTTCCCTAACCAGTTCTATATAAAACCAGGTAACTCCCATCACTCATGAACGCCCTTCTAAATCTGTTACACAGGTTTCCTGCCTCACTATAAAAAGATAACTACGATGAAGAATGGAGCAGAGATCAAACTCTACTGTGTTTTTAATAAAACGGAAATGCCCAGATGTATTAAGCAATTAAGGAAAAACACCTCACTGTCCTCAACCTCGTTCCAATAAATTTTTTTCCAAAAATTTCGCCACTGCAATTCTGAATCAAACAACATGCGGAAAAGCAACGTAAATTAAAAGAAATTACTATATAACGAAATGGAAAAAGGAACTACCACACTGATTACTTAGCGCTTGAAAGCCATTTGGCCAAGGCACATCTTCATCCACAACAAAAATCTGAAGCCCTCACTTCTAACTTTAGACGAAACTAACGAAAAGCTAAATCAGTAAAATTAACGAGAACTACTCTTCTGGAAGTATTCGTTAAAGGTCCAGCTTTGAAGGTATTTCGAGACCCAAATAGCGCGTCATTAAGCTTCCCGGATTTGTCCTTCTGAGTTTCCTCCCATTTTACTGAAGGAGAAAAAAGATATTTGACAGTCTGTTCCACGTCATAGTTATTTTCAATTAACGCCTGCGTTGCCCACGTCCGATCTCCGCAGTTACTTCTCATCATCACCTAAATAAGATGATCACAGAACACTAGATCAAAAAATTGCTCGCACAGTCCCTAAGTAAGATCTTAGAGCTCCATTCGCAATTCCTTTCCCAAGAACCCGTATTATATACTTGCAAATCAAGTAACTTAATAGATGTTGTATTCTCGCATGGTCCATATTTGTCATCTTTCCGAAAAATTAAAATAAATTCTGACGATTTTAATTGCGAATAGTTATTAGCTTGACAAACCTCGCTAACAACAGCATCAAAATCGACAAGAGCTGCTATGTAATTGCTGTCATCGTTAACTGCTTCTGGTATTGCCAAGGGAGCGCTTTCGAGAGTTTTATGTTTTGCATAAGAAGGGGTGAGTGAAGTATCAGCTTCCTTACCGTTAGCACCAACCTGTGTGCCCGTTGCAGAATTCTTTCCTAGTGAGACACAAGGTCGTTCTTGCGCATCCTAAGGAACTTTATAATTAAGCATACAGAAGAAAAAAAGGAAAAGGATGCTTTAAAGATTGACAAGCAAGTGTGTCTGCAAATAAATCTACATCAAAACTCTTGTGAAACGTAACAATTCGACAACTTGCCATAAGCGAAACGAGGCGGACATCAGCAGGTGTGCCCTCTTTGTCTCCAAAACAACGAACGCTGGAATAGTGTTCACCGTTATGATATGATAAATGTAGCTCACGTGCATTTTCGTTTTCTGATCCTTCGATCTGCCACAGAGGGCTATTGAGCTGGTGAATTACTATATTCACTTTATGCAATTTCGCGAATGCCACCAAAGCATCTTGTCCCGCATAGGTGCCAGAACGACCCAGACTCTCAGCTTCAAATTGTCCATTATAACCAAAATTTATAACAGATATTACAGATGAAAATAACAGAACAAAAAACTAAAGAAATATATGAAAACTGCCTACTGTATCTCTCAAACGGTATGTCAATGAAAGGCTCAAAATGCTTCCGATTTGCTATCATATATCGAACAGTGTCGGCTCGATGTTTCAAATGGTTCCTCGAGTGACCTTCGAGCTGATCCCCCAAAGCCCTAAAGAAAATAATGTTTAAAATAAAAAAAGCCGTTAACTGCCATTGATTGCGAGTCATCAAATACACTGCAGCACAAAAAAAACCTTTTTAAGGTAGATTCTACATATTCTTTTAAGAGGAAAACTTGTCAGAACTACCGTTTTCAAAAAAAACACCGTGAAAAACAACATTTGCTACGACTCAATAAAAAGCCTTAAAACCGATACGATTCAAACGTAACCTAAACAGGCAGTTACCATCACCCGGGATATCACGTAAGGTAAGACCAATTGATCTAAGTTGAGCGCGAAGGTCAGCCACATCGTAAACATCAGGGCAACTAGGACCAGCTCGATTATTCTAAACATACGAAGTCTTAAAGAAACTTCCAAAACATTAAAAAAGTAGCTTATTATTTATGCAGGCATAACAATCCAAAAGCAAGACCGGGACAGGCAATTTCACCACTCAGGTTAATAACATTCAGAAGTAAAAAAAGCACATTCACAAATCCTACGAAGACGGTTTATTTCAAAATGCTTGAGATAAAGTAATTAAGTGGACGGTAGAAGTAATGATCCTAAATTTGCTTTTGCAAAGGAACACTTAGGAGACAGATGTTATGTTCAGAACAAGTGGTCTTTCAATCTGAAAAACTGGTGAAATAAAATCATTAAACTGACTCAAAAGTCACTCTAATTCACCGAATAAGGCAGTGGTCTGCCTCGAAAAGTTCAAACCAAAAGTAAAACGTCCTGTTAGTGCGGTGGAGGACACAAAACAACACAAAACTCCAACTTACAAAATCAAAGAAAAAAAAGCAAAAAATGATGAATAACACTAACGGAATCTTTCCTTTTCAAAGCATTCGGGTTCCCCTTATTATTTCCAGTCTTACTGATATTCTCAACAGAGGAAAAACTTGGTGCGGTACGCTTTTTTGCACATCCGTCAACAATGGAATACTCTTTCTTCCTCGCCATTTTCCATGGAATACTGAAAAAATTATAAGTAAATGCAAACTGAAGTGATAAGGATAATAACAAAAAAAAAAAACTCGAAAATATTAAAGAATCTAAAACAAACCATTTGACAACGGCAGAAAGAAAAATGTGCTCAATACTTCGTTCTATCCTCCCTACCAGCCTTTTTCAGCACGTTTTTTAAAATAGTATGATGCTCTTTTCTGAACCTAATCCTGATCAAAAATATGAGCTGAAGTAGGAAGTCAATAAGTTATAAAAGAACTTCCTTTAGCATAGTTGTACGAAATTTGTATGCTCCTTCACCCAAATATGCTAAAATTTAAAAGAACATTCCGAGAAAAAACTAGGTTATAACGCAAAGAGCATCATCAAATGTTTCTCGGGCATCCATGAGGATAGAGAAGTGAGATAATGAAACATCATGAATATTAAAAAAATGCTTCGTTTTTGTTCCCGTACCAGAAAGGAGCATCTACAGCTTTTTGAGCCGTGTATCATTACTAAACCAAGACAAATATTGCATTACCGATCTCAGCAATAAATACTACTATAAGTATCCCAAAAACATACAACAAACAAATACAAACGCTTAGAATCATAATTTTGCAACTGATGAGGAAATAAATAAACGAAAAATACTAGCATCAGCATTTTTCAGTGTATTACTGGAACCTAAACGAGTAGTTTCGCACTGAAAGAAAAGAGGTTCCTGATGCGTATGAAACGCGCTGCACTCTCCTATGCAGCTCCTGCAAATTACTAGTGCGTAAGCCCAAAAGCGAAAAAACTCCTAGAATCAAAAACTTCTGAACAGTGTGCTCAAACAGTCACCCACCAGCGACATCACTAGTTAAAGACTCTAATACCTTACAACACTCTGGTACTGCCTACCATCTACAGCGTAAAACCTTTTCCACGCGGACTACTGAAACGAATAATTGTGAACGCGAGCCAGAAGCCGGACGAGAACCTTTGAGTTGGCAATAAACCATAGTAGAAATGAGTACTGCGTGATACGCAAAAAAAAAGTTATTCTTCTGATGAGCGTAATAGAAAAAACGCAAAGAAAGAGCCTACACTAGCAATTTTATTACCCAGAGTCAACATTTCTGTTAAGAAATAAATAAATAAATAAAAAGAAATGAAATAGCAACAAAGTAATTGAAAGATCAGAAAAGTACATTGGGTCCTTTCTTAAAAGACAGTGAAGTGAAGCAGCTAGGTTTCTAGCAAAACTACAGTACAATACGAAGTCGGCCGTAATCGAAAACAAAGAAAAAAAAAATCTGAGGAACTATTTCGCAATTATATCGACAACAAAGCATTCAGAGCATATGAAGACTTCACATACAAACAATCAGCAAAAAACGAGAGCTGACAAGTCTGTACAAACTTCTGGTGAACAGCAACAAACACCACTGACAGGAGTATGACGAATCAGAGCCAGCATTAAACACAGCCTCCATGACCATAAAAACAAAACAGGAGAAGTTGCAGACAAAAAAACACAGGAGGAAACACAGATCTAAATCCCTCGATGTCTCCTGAAACAATCAGCTGATACAACTAACATTCGCAGGAAAAACAGTTCAATCAAAAGCCGAATGTCTATCAGCATCTCAAGTTTTATTTGTAAAACTACCATATTAAATGCTTTCAACATCTCAGACGGCATCTATAGCGTTCCTTTCACCCTCAGCCTCACCAAACAAAACCCAAAACATTAAATAACAGCGAAACTTCAACAACCGAAAACTAAAAGGCAATCAAAAAATATGGGAACACGTCATTCAACCAACGAATTTTCTTAGCAGTCCAGCGAACGACGTATGACAACAATATAAACACCACTTCTCCAGGCGGCACCCGTAGCAATAGCAGCAACAGCAGCAGCCGCAGCGACGAAACTACCAGACAGACGGCGGCGGCCAAGGCCGTCATCTGTTCTCATTATTGCAGAAGACCTTCCGTTGTTCGCTAATTAGCGCCTAATCCAAAAAATACAATTATAGCAGCGCAAAATTTATAGATCAGTCACTTCACTGGAAGCCGCATTGCTAATAAAACGGCAACGTTCCAAGTGCCTCAAATAGTGGATTGTTACAGAATCATACCTTTTATGAAAGTTGGTCTGTTAATTTTTCTTCAAATGGTTAGGTGAACTGAATTGGTCAACAGTGCTGTTGGAACAAGTAGTTCCACTTTTTAGGGCGCTTTCACCGCTAGTGGGTACACTTGGTAATTTTGTCGATTATGGGTTGTCTCTTTGGTTTTGTTTTTCTAAGGAATTTCTGGTGATTTACACTGCCTATGTTTCAGGAAATGTATTTTTTTTTTAGGAAATAAAAAAAGAAAAAAAGAAATATTCTTTTAAAATTTTACCAGTGATGTGATGCGTGTACCTTCACCAAATATAAGAACGCCTCTGTTCAGTGTAACGCAGAAATCTGGCATTCTCACCGCCTGAAAGAAGCAAAAAAAAAAAAAAAAA